GGGTCCCTGGCGCCGGCAGGGCGGGCGCTTGCGTCCCCGCAGCCATGTCGGAGGCCCCGCGGCCCGGGGGCGAAGCCCAACCCGTCGGTGCACAGCAATGCTGCCCCTCGGCGCTGTGTTTCTTCCCCCCCCAGGGGCAGTGAGGAAGACGAGCAGCCGCAGCCAGAGGCCGGCTCCATCAGTGGACACGGTGAGCGCTTCCCCCTCGGCCTGGTGCCTCCCCGTGTCACACAGGCCCTGGGCCTGACTGGGGTTGAGCCAGCTTCGGTGTTACAAGTCCTTCTAATGCTCTGCATCTACTTGAAGCCTCCCTCTACCTTTTTCCTCCCACCTTCCTCCTTGGTGTTAGCTTGGAGTCGTGCCATGGTAACCAAGGCCAGCGATGAAGTGTCTGCAGGCCTGACTGAGATGTGGTGATTGTCACTGGTTGGCGAACGGGAGGTTCACTTGGGAGAACTGTCTCCTCCCATCCGTCCTGGGTCTTCAGGGCTTTTGGCAAGCCTGCCTGCATCCTCTCTGTAGTTGCTGTGGGAGTGTGGCCAAAATACCCGCTGCACCATTTAGTGGGTTCAGTTTCCTTCTGTAACACTTGGAAGAGCGAGTTAGTATAGTGACACATGGGGAAGATCCACGTTTGGACCGTCTGATACATCTTCTCCTCTTGCAGAGAACAGGCCTTCGCCCAAGGAGCTGGAGGAGCTGGAACTGCTGAACAGGGCCTTAGAAAAGGCACTGAAAGTCAGGAGAAGCGTCTCAAAAACTCCGTTAGTGGCCCAAGGAGCTGCAGGAGAGAAATCTGCAGATGAAGGACCTGCTCCCAGGAATGCTCAAGAGCGGCAAGTGCCTGCATCTGTTGAGGATGTTCCTGTAACCACAAAAGTGAGAACTGTAAGCAAAAAGCCTGCCTCTTTGAAGAAGCCCTCTCCATACAAGCTGGGAGCCCCTTATAGGACTGACCCAGATGTGAAAAAAACGCAAAGGAAAGCCCCAGCCAGATGTGTCTCTCAAGGTCCCAGGACAGCTGGGAAGAGCTCCTCAAAAGGGGTGGCTTGCAAACAAGGAAGGAGCCATAGGACAGCAATCAGTGCCAGAGACCAAGCGGCCTGTGCTGCAGCTGAACCCCAAAAGATACCTGGCTTGTCCAGGTCTGCCCCGGATGAGCAGCAGAGCTTTTCTGTAGAGGATTCAGCTGGGGGAGAGAACTCTGTAGCTGCTGGCAAGCGGTTATTTGATGCAGGGAAGAAAAGTTGTGCTTCCCTGGGAGAGTCCAGCAAAAAGGAGGACCCTACAACTGAAGGTGCATTGGGAAGGAGCACCTCACCTCGGGCAGTCACCCTCCAGGAAAAGGGGTAAGTGCTGAGAGATGGGCACCTCTGTCTTATTCTGCTTGACATTGACTAGCACATCTGCAAAGCCTGGTCTCTTCTACTGCTCTGTAGGGCCCAGCTGGGTTTCACCGTTCCTGAGATCCTTCTCAGGAGGAAGGACCCTTTACAGTTTAAAAGCCTTTATTGTGGTTGGGGAAGTGTTTTCTTTTTAAGGGCTTGCTGTTGGATGGCTGGGACTTCAAAAGTCTTTTAATTGAGACACTTGATATTTCATAGCCCCCTGTGACTGTTTTGGAAAGCTGTCTCTGTAGAGCTTTCTTGACCCTTAGTTTTCCTCTGAGTCCACTTTCTATTATAGCTTATTGATTTTTAAAAATTTTTTTTTTACACCATGATAATACGTAATGCATGGATAATCTCTCTCTTTCTCTCTCTCATATGCCCAGTGCTGTTTGGAGAGATGACGTCTGGGTTTAATACTATTCCCTTTAACCTGTAAGATACCGCCCGTGTAAATACACAAATCGGTATTGACTAGAATGCAGTTGTTTCAAGTGTTTGGTGTAGGAAGAATTATGAAGTGGATATTGCTGAGATTCTCTATGGAAAAGTGGCAAAATAATACTTAGAAGATTGGCTTTGTATTCAGACCAGTCTGTCTTGCTTAAATAATTTCTATGTTCTTTTCTGTGTGCTCGTTGCTTTAAAGAAACAGTGAAGTTCGGATCTGATACGTGCCTGTTCCTGGAAAATTTTGAGAGATAGCTCTCAGCTGCCACAACCCAACTGTTGTGTTTGTGCAGGGAGGAAATTATCACTGTTCATGTGGTGTTGGAACAGACACAGGATGCTGAGTGACAGTTGCTGGGGGAACAGGAATCTGGATTCAAATGTTTATTTACTTAAAATCCCAACCCTGGTCCTGTGTTCATAGTTTGCATGTGACTAACTATAACTGCCAACCTACATGTTTTTGCAATAACAAGTTAGGGTTTATTCTGCTTCGGGGTTAAGGTGCATATTCCCAGTGCAAGCTGAAATGTCCCTTTCCCACTTCTTTGAGTGTGATACGGTGCTAAGCAAAGCTGCCTTGTTGTGCACAGGTATGGCAACATAGGGAGGTTTGCCTGCGCTCATGCCTGTAGTGATCAGCTTCCTTGAAGATGTCGTTTCCATGTCTGTACTCCGCCTTGTCAGGGCTTTGCTTCCAGCTTCTCACCTTGGATGAACCTCTGATGGCTGGTGGTAGGATGTGGGAGCTCTCCCAAGTCAGCTCAGTGACACTTGTGGAAATGAATGAGCAGACCGATCCTCCTTCCTTGAGGACAGGCTGAAGGCGGTGGTGGATTCGGTTTCCAGGGTTGTTGACATCTTCTGTTACAGCTAAAGTAATTTCAAATTTAGACAAAATGTCGTTTTCTTAATTTCTTCAGCAGTCAGGATTGATGCTTCTCTTGTTCTGCAGATGCCAGCTGAAGCTACCCCTTCCCTACAGGAAAGCCTATTCCAGGAACTCCAGGTAAGCCCAGCCTGATCAGTCCAGTCCACAACTACCCTCTGCTTAAGGGCTGTGAGGAGGGGTCAGATGGGGGAGACCTGGCTGGTTTGTGGGTCACGGGAAGGCACTGACCCCACAGTGTGCGGGGCCTGAACTCGGAGCAGGAGGAGTGGTCCAATACAGCCTGTCTCTGCAAGGCTCTTTCTGAGGATATGAGTTTTCATGTTATTCTAGCCACTAGTGTTACATTTGTGTTCAGAATGCTAATCCCTGTTAATCCCCGAAGTGGTAAAGGTACTAGAGTGCTTTAATCATGGGATTAACGGTGCTGCAGAAGTCTCTGCTGACACTGTATACTAGTAGTTGAAGGCAGGACGCCCTGTGGGCTGGGTGCCTGTATACCCTGTGCAATGAAAGAGTCTCCCGACCGGTTGCTGACCTGAACTGCTATGCTGGGGCACCTGTCTAGCCTGGAAGCACCCTGGCTGTGTTTGAGG